AAGAATTAATAAGATCAATAAACCTCTGGCCAGACTTATCCAAAAGAAAAAAGAAATGACCCAAATTAATAAAATCATGAATGAAAGGGGAGAGATCACGACTAACACCAAGGAAATAGAAACAACTATTAGAAATTATTACCGGCAACTATAGGCCAAGAAACTAAGCAATTTGGAAGAAATGGATGTATTCCTGGAAACCCCCAAACTCGTTCTATGAAGCTTGCATTACCTTGATCCCAAAACGAGATAAAGACCCCATCAAAAAGGAGAATTACAGACTCCTAACCCTATTGAACAAAAAGTTAAAAATAGAACTACCCTACAGTCTAGGAATTGTACTACTAGGTATTTACCAACAAATGCAAAAATACTGATTTTAAGTGATATATGTACCCCGATGTTTATAGAAGCATTATCAACAATAGCCAAATTATAGATAGAAACCAAATGTCCCTTCTCTGATGGATGGATAAAAAGGAGATGGATATAATTGAATATTACTCAGCCATCAAAAAGAATGAAATCTTGCTGTCTGTTAAGACATGAATAGATCTAGAGCATATTAGCTAAAGGAAATAAGTCAGTCAGAGGAAGAGAAATACCATATGATTTCATATGTGGAGATTAAGAAACAAAACACATGAACATGGGGGCACAAAAAAGAAGGAAATCAAGGAACATACTCTTAATTGTAGAGAACAAGTGATCATTACTGGAGGGAGGTGGTGGAGGGGATGGGTTATACAGGTGATTGATATTAAAGAGGGCACTTGTGATGAACACTGTGTATGTACGTAAGTGTTGAATCACTAAATTCTACACCTGAAACTAATATTTCACAGTATGTTAAGTAGCTGTAATTTAAATAAAACCTCAGAAAATCATATGGGAAAATTGAAAAAAAGTAAATAATGAAAAAATACAAAATAAGAAAAAAATCAGCATGACTTAATTCTGGGATCTTTAAAAATAATTGTAGCTTAACTCTAGGAAAGTTAAAAGGGTATAAGAAACTGAGTTTCCACCCTTAAAGGGCCAATACCCTAAGTAAACTGGACCAAGACGTGTCATAGAAGCAGTAGTTTGAAAATTGCCTGTGGTATACTTGAAAGTTTATTGGCTAATTTTATGCTATATTCCAGATAAGCAGGGATCTGTGGGAGGTTTCTCTCTGAACAAACATGCTCTGGGTGGCAGTTTTCTTGCCCTCCCCCACTCTAGATAGCTGGAGGCTTTTGTCAGTCAATTCTAACATGCTCCATTAATCTTGCTATCACTGCATGCCCTGCCTCCATGTTCCAATGTGGATCTGCCCCACCCAACATTTCCATCCTTATGGGAGCCCCTCCAAACCTGGTTCCTATACTGTCACACACAGCTCACTTCAGACAAATGGGACAATCCCAGTCTCACCCACCAGCAAGACTTCATTGTCTAAAGCCAGGCCTATCTGCTAATGGTATGGAAACAAAACCAGTCATAGCAGCTCATATCAGAGAGGCATTCTGAGTGCTGGGTCAATCCACCAATGTGACAACAGTTGCTGTAGCCTGGCCCCTAAGCCAGCAGCATGGGGAGAAAACCTTGCTCACAAGTGCAAGTGCATCCATGGTAGCTTCAAGCCAGATGCACAAGCAGTAAGCCGTACCTACCAGTGCACCCACAGATGTTGCTCAGCCACTAAAGGAATGTTCATGCAGCCCACAAAAGAAGACAGCCCTGAAATGAATTTGGTTCTCTTCATTACAGACACCACTGGAGGCCTTCTACACAAAGTCACTTCTTTTAAGACCAGGACACATAGGTGACCCACGTAATACCTAAAAACAAATAGAGATTTAGAGAAATTGAGGAGACAACAGAATTTGTCCCAGATGAAGGAAAAAGACAAAATCACAGCAAAAGAACCAAACAAAACAGTTGTAAAAATATGCCTAATAAAGTTCAAAATAATGGACATAAGGCTGTGTAGTTTATTTGAGAGAAGAGTGGACAAATTCAATGACAATTTCAACAAAGAGATAGAAAATTTTAAAAAAATAACTAATCATATCCAAAGAATACAATAACTGAAGTGAAAAATAAACTAGAGGAAATCAACAGCAGTTTAGACGATGCAGAAGAACGGTTTGACAATCTGGGTGACATGATAATGGAAGGCAAACAAGCTAAACAGCAAAAGTTAAAAACATTATAATAAAAAAATGAGGAGGATAGTTTCAGAAAACTCAGTGACATAATCAAGCATAATAACATTTGCATTATATGAGTTCCAGTAGGAGAAGAGAGATAGAAGGGAGCAGAAACATATTTGAAGAAATAATAGCTAAGAGTTTCCTACCTGAGGAAGGAAATTGATATCTAATTCCAGAAAGCATTAAGAGCCCCAAACAATAAAAAAAAAGAAAATCCACATCAAGACACAAATTAATTAAAATGGAAAAAATTAAAAATGAAGAGAGAAAGTTAAACACAGCAAGAGAAAAGAGAGATCTTACATAAAAGGGAAGCCCGATAAGATTATCAGCTGACTTTTCAGCAGAAACTTTGTAGGACAAAAAGACAGTGCCATTATATATGCAAAGTGTTGAAAGGATCAAAATAAAAAGCTTTTGCACAATGAAGAAAACCATCAACAGGATGACAAGGCAACCTACTGAATGGGAGAAGGTATTTGTAAATGATATATTTGATAAGAGGTTAATATCAAATATACATAAATAACTTATACAACTCAACACCAAAAAACCACAAATAACTCAATTAAAAAAGGGCAGAGAACCTGAATAGTTTTTTTTTTTCCGAAGAAGATATACAAATGTCCAACAGACACATGAAAAATTCCCAACATCACTAATCATCAGGGAAATGCAAATTAAAACTTCAATAAGATATTACTTTATACCTATCTGAATACCTAGAATCAGAAAGACAAGAAATCACAAGTTTTGGCAAGGATATGGAGAATAAGGAAACTTGATGCCCTGTTGGTGGGATTGTAAATTACTGCAACCACTATGGACACTAGTATGGAGGTTCTTCAAAAAATTAAAAAAAAAAAAAAGAATTACCATATGATTCAGCATTTGCACTACTGGGTACTTACCCAGAGAAAACAAAAACACTAATTCAAAAAATATATACAGCCCTATGTTTATTGCAGCATTATTTGTAATAGCCAAGATATGGAAGCATCCCAAGTGTCCATCAGTAGATGAATGGATAAAGAAGATATGGTATATATTGATAATGGAATGTTACTCAGCCATAAAAAAGAATAAGTCTTGCCATTTGCAACAACATAGATGGACCTAGAGGGTATAATGGTAAGTGAAATGAATCAGAGAAAGGCAAATACCATGCAATTTCATTCATAATTTAAGAAACAAAACAAATGAACAAAGAGAAAACAAGAGAAAGAAAAGGAACAGACTCTTAAATACAGAGAATAAATTTGTTGTTGCCAGAGGAAAGATGGATGGAGGGATGGGTGAAATAGGTACAGGGGATTAAGAGTACACTTATCATGATAAACACTGAGTAATGTATACATTTGTTGAATCATTATATTGTACACCTAAAACTAATATAATACTGTATGTTAATTGTACTTCAATAAAAATAAATTTAAGAGGGGCTGAAAAGAAAATAAAACCCTATGACCTGGAATACTCTACCTAGCAAGATTATCATTCAGAATTGAAGGAGAGGTAGGGTTTCCTAGACAAATAAAAATTGAAGGAGTTCATCACCAGTAAACCAGCCTTACAAGAAATATTAAAAGGAACTCTAAGTAAAAGGAAAAGACCATTCTTAGAAGTAAGAAAATTATGAAAGAAAAAAAAATATTGGCAAAAGTAAATATATAGTAAAGATGGAAAATCAATCACATAACAAAACTAGTAAGAAGGTTAAAACATAAAAGTAGTAAAATCAATTATATATACAAAATTTAGTCCAGGGATACACAAAGTGAAATGATATGAAATATGACCTACATAAATCATGGGGAAGGAAGTCAAAATTTACTGTTTTATGTGTTTGAACTTAAGGAATCATCTACTCAATGTAGACTACAAACATGTAGGGTAGAATACATGAAACCCATGGTAACCATAAACCAAAAACATAATAGATAAACACACACGAAAAGAAAGAAATCCAAGCATAACACTAAAGAAAGCCATCAAGCCACAAAGGAAGAGAGCAAGAGGAAAAGAAAGGAATAAAGGATAACTACAGAAATGAAAAGAAAACAATTAACAAAATGGCAATAAATTAATACCTATCACTTGTATGTACCCTTGCTACCCAGGAATGTCTAGACTCAACTATAATCAAGTGTTCAATCCCCTAGAGTGTTTACCAGAGAGGTCCTGTTCTTCGACCTGCCAGGTTTTGTGAGACAACTCAGAGAAAATACTCTTGTAGTCATGCCACTGGATGGGCACCACTTGCCTCTGTGTAGAGATTCTTAGAACAAGAGACTTAGAGTGGCTGAACTCTCTTCAAGGGTGTAGTACAAACCCCAAGAGGGGAGAGTCCCCTCCAAGGATTCCAACCCTAGTTCCAGTAGCTTGAATGGGTTAACCCAGGTGTGCTGCCATTGCCCACTGCTCTGTCCATTGGAAACCAGGAAACTGTAGGGCAGAAACTTAGAAAGACAGTAGCCCCATCTGCATTACCAAATGTGTAAACAAACTAATCTGAGTTTTTTCTTTGTTGAATCACAGAAACTACACCAGGTGGAGTTGTCACAGAAAGTAAAATTTATTTGCATAAAATAAGATCATGGGGAATAACTTCCAAAGCCACAACTCCCTGAGTAAGGGTGGATAGGTTTCTTTTATTTAGGGTTAGAATGAATATATAAGAAGAGGATCCTTGTCATCATATGTAGAAGCAGGCATAAGATTGTGCATGCACTTTAAGAAAACATGCCTATACATATATTGTATGTTATGTAAATGAGGCTTGTGCTCCTTCTTGTGTTGCAGGTGAACTGTGGAGACTCCAGGCCCTGAGGTCAACCCAGTCCATTCCAAAGGTATCACCAAAAGTTCTGGGTCTTGTCTCAAGAAAGAACTTAAGAACAGACATGAAACAGAGCAGATGAGTGACAAAAGTGGGAAAATTTATTAGAGCATAAAGTGTACTCGAGATATGAATGTGGGCAAACTTGAGAGAATGAGAAAAGGAGAGAGAGAAAGAGTTGTGTCTCTAGGGATCAGGTTTCTAACTTTCATCAACAGTTGTTACCTAGGGGTTGAAATATTCATTAGTTGGGGTAGGGAAGCAGGGTTTTGTACCTTTTCTTCCTTATATGGTCAGGAGTTTTCTTTCATGGCATCTGGCATCTTGGGCCTGACTGATTTGATCTGGCATCGGTGGAGTGCTGCCAGGACAAGCCTTTAACTTTCCTTTTTGTGTGTGTGTGTGTGTGGGGGGGGTTAGGATTAAAGAGAAATTTATTTTTTGATTCTCACAAATATAGCTCATTATTTTAATATTAAGTTTTTGGGTCACATTGGGAATAGTGTCTTTTATTTACTTTTGAAATTCTTTTTGGGAATAACTTCCTTTATTAAAGAAAGATATTTGCCATGCTTTATCTCTTAAAGAATCTATAAACAGAACAAAAGAGCATAAGTTGAAGAATTAACTAGTGATCACTAGCTATTCTAAAGTTCAAATTGTCTCTTCACCAGATGCCTCTTAGCCAGGTAGAAGTCCTAGAGTTTCCCTAATTCTAAATATATTTTTAAAAAGTTGGGCGCCTGGGTGGCTCAGTTGGTTAAGCGATTGCCTTCAGCTCAGGTCATGATCCTGGAGTCCCTGGATCGAGTCCCACATCGGGCTCCCTGCTCGGCAGGGAGTCTGCTTCTCCCTCTGACCCTCCCCCCTCTCATGTGCTCTCTCTCAGTCTCTCTCTCAAATAAATAAATAAAATCTTTAAAAATAAATAAATAAATAAAATAAAAAATAAAAAGTTGACTATTATTCATTAACAAATAGGTATTTGTAAAGAAAATATAAATGAAACCTAAACCAAAGAATCTTAACCAAAATAATTTGTGTTATAGCCAAGTCTTTTTGATTGCCTCAATGAGAGTATCTGATATACTTTTGGAGAATGATTAAATGCCGACCCTCCCCCACCCATTTAAGAACTGATAAATTTTAGTCAAAAACTAGGACATAACTTACAGAACAAATAATGTGATTTACCAGCTAACAAGTTAGTTACTTATGCTGTACCATGAAACCTTATTAACAAAATTCTAAGAAAATACTTCTGCCTATATAGTATATAAGTATATTAGATTATTCAGGTTACTTTGGATTTTATGTTTGTAATTAAGTCTCTTTAGTTCAAATCTAAAGAATATATTATATTCCTACATACCTTTCAAAGATATTATGTTTCTACTAGGAGAAACAAAAAAGCTGAAAAAAGAACTGGAAAACTTTGATCCTTCATTTTTTGAAGAAATTGAATATCTGAAGTATAATTATAAAGAAGTGAAAAAGAATATTCTTTTAGAAGAAAAGTTAAAAAAAACTTTCTGAATAATGTGGAGTTGAATTAACTAGTCCTGTTGCTGCTTCTGAACAGTTTGAAGATGAAGAAGAAAGTCCTGCTGATCTCCCCATTTATTAAGGACTACCTATACCTGTAGTTTTATTTGACTACTAACTTCATAAGTTAAAACTTAATCTGGAAATCAAACAGGTCTCTGACCTACATGATTTCCTTCTTCATACCCTGTACCTTTACTAAATACAAGTTTTAGTAAATAAAATTGTATGAAATTTTAAACATAATAGAAAAGTATATTTTTGATGACTTTAGAGTAAGTTATGACTATCAAATAAGCTGTGATGAATTTCTGTATACATAATGTTTAAGTTTTTTAAAGAGTATGGGGTGAGCTTTAATAACTTTTAACATTTAAAATTGGGGTTTTATATATACTTATTTACATCTGTGTTAAGACTCTAGTTTTATATATATGTACATGTATATAAACATGATGTTACAGCCATATGTTTTGTTAAGTGTTAGAACAAATTCATCTTGAACTATTTAATTTTTAAAGTTAATGATCCAAAATTGTTGGTTTAATTGTTGTCTTTATCCAACTTTTGTACAAGGTAGGGAGCTTATTATTATATTTCTAAGTCTAATGGTTGAAATTCGTTTGGTGGTTCTAAAAATTTTTTTGAATAGACCTTTGCAACTGGGAAATTCATTTCTTCAAACGCTAGAAGACATATTGCTCTATTAGACATGGAACCTTGAGATTTTTTTACCTTGCACATATGACAGAATATTCAAGATTCAAAGATAACAATAAAGCTGGTTCTTAATTGCATTTCTAGTTTATACATCAAGTATTATATCTTTGAGTTTACCAAATTTCTGATTATCTATTTTTGAAAAAAGACTAAACAAACAGTATCAAAGGCATGGTCATACTTATTCAGGTTCATGTTGATAATAACTGGTTTTGAATTCATGTAAGTATCTGGAATTGGCCAGCCTAAACCAAGATGATGGCGATGAACCTTGATTAAACAGCCATCACTGCAATTACATTGATATTCCTTCAATTTTACCCTCTCTGCAATGTTCAAACTAGGATAATAGATCATTGTGCTTCAAGGTAGGTTGATTTCAGATTTGAAATGTCCCATGTGGTATAAGAAGATATAATGGATGCTTCTTGCTTCCTAACCCATATGGGTTTCCATTAATATTTGTTCATATAAGTTCTAGTGTTTGTTCTAGGAGATCTGAGAGTGGTACTGCACGAATTTCCAGAAGCCCAGTACTACCAGGATGATGCTTCAGTACCAGGGCAACTTTGAATTAATAATTAACTTCAGAGGAATGTCAGTAGTACTGTTTGTTGTGTTTCTCCACTGGTACCCAACCAGGAATGTGTCCATTTTCATCAGGCATCAGATTCCTGTTTAATTGTTCTATTTCCTTCGCTTGTATCCAGCACTCTGGAACAGGTTTGAAGTCCTCCTCAACATTCCAAAAAAAATCTTTTAAGTTTTGTTTTGAATGTAAATAATTTTTAAATCTTTTCTCAGCTAATTTCTTAGGTTTTCTATCTAGTCGAGCCCAAAGGTATGGCTGACCTTTGTAGGTAGTAATATAACAACATGTTTCATCCACTTTTTCTGTTGGAATTGCACTGTATATATCTGCATCTAATGCCTTGTGACTTAGAGTTTCAGTTGCCAAAACTTTAAATGGCTGATGCTCCCTTTTGGTGGAGGGCTCCTCTTTCACCTCTGTCACAAACACACAGGCATTTTCTGCTGCACCAAATCTAGGCGCCTCATGGTGGGCCCAACAGGCAGTGCAAATGCAGAGGACGCTTCCAAACAGCTCTGCAGCCAGGAAAGCATCCCCAGCAGTCACACACACTGCTCAAACCACAAACACTGCCCGCTCAACACTTTTAACTTTCCTGATAGTTGTCCATGACTTACTCATTGTTGGCCTCCAGGTATCCTGTTAGAACCTAACTAACTGCACACTCTAACACTTTGGTGGAGATTTTAGTATTATAATGAAGTAAATGTAGTTATCCGTCATTTTAGAATTCATTCCATGGCCCATTTATGCAGGGATTATGTTCAAACTGGCCTGGGTGGTCTGGGCCAGCTGGAGGTCTTGTCAAGGCAATCACTATCACTTAAGGGGTGGTTTTGGTTTCCATTTGCATGAATTAAGAGATAAGCTGGAAAGAAGAGCTTAAGGGAAAATATGGGACAAAAGTCAGTGAATACAAGCAGGTGGGCAGTAAAGATCAGGTATGAGGGTCTAGCTGGCCATAAAAAAGAATGAAATCTTGTCATTCGGAATGACATGGATAGAGGTAGAGTGCATTATGCTAAGCAAAATAAGTCAGAGAAAGACAAATACCATATGATTTTACTCATATGTAGAATTTAAGAAACAAAACAGATGAACATAAAGTAAAAGAGAGAGAGAGAGAGAGAGGCAAACCATAAAACAGACTCTTAACTGTAGAGAAAAAACTGAGGGTTGATGGAGGAGAGGTGGGTAGGAGATGGGCTAAATGAGTGTTGGGTATTGAGGGCACTTGTGATGAGCATTGGGTGTTATATGTAAGTGATGAATCACTAAATTCTACTCTTGAAACTAATATTACACTATATGTTAACTAACTAGAATTTAAATAAAAAGTTGAAAAAAGAGAAATAGAAATTAGTTGAAATAGAAAAAGTTGAAAAAATAGAAAAAGAAAAAAGACTAAGACAAATTCTCTCTCTTTCAGAATGTCTTTGAGCTGAGATATCAATCTTCTCCTGCCTTCAGACTCTGACTTGAACTGGAACTTGCACCTTCAACTCTCCTGGTTCTCAGTCCTTTAGACTCAGACTAGAAGTATACCATCAATCTTCCTGGGTCGCCATCTGCAGATCTTGGGAATTCTCAGCTGCCATAATGGCATAAGCCAATTCCTTAAAATAAGTCAATCATATACATATACATATAAGCATACATATATAGGCATCCCTCACTTTACTGTGCTTTGCAGATACTGTGATTTTTAAAAATTGTTTGTGGCACCACTGCATTGAGTAAGACTACCAGTGCCGTTTTTCCAATGGCATTTTCTCACTTGTGTCTCTGTCACATTTGGTAATCTTCATTATATTTCAAATATTTGCATTATTATTATATTTTTATTGTGATCTATGATCAGTTATCTCTGATGTTACCATTGTAATTGTTTTGTGGGGTCATGAACCATGCCCATATAACATGACAAACTTAATAAATACTGTGTGTGTTCTGACTACTCCACCAACTGGTCATTCCTCCATCTCTCTCCCCCTTCTTGGGCCTCCTTATTCCCTGAGACACAACAGTACTAAAATTAGGCCCATTAGTAATCCTATAATAGCCTCTTAGTGTTCAAGTGAAAGGAAGAGTCAAACATCTTTCACTTTAAATCAAAAGCTAGAAATGATTAAGCTTAGTGAGGAAGGCAGGTCAAAAGCTGAAATAAGTCAAAAAGTAGACATCTTGCACCAAACTGTTAGTAAAGTTGTATATGCAAAGGAAAAGCTTTTGAAGGAAATTAAAAGTGCCACTCCAGTGAACACAAAAATGATAAAGTGAAACAGGCTATTGTTAATATAGACAAAGTTTTAGTGCTCGTGATAGAAGATCAAACCACCTACAACATTCCCTTAAACCAAAGCCTAATCTAGAGCAAGGCCCTAACTCTCACTTCTATGAAAGCTGAAAGAGGTGTGGAAGCTGCAGAATAAAAGGTTTGAATCTAAGAGAGGTTAGTTCATGAAGTTTAAGATAAGAAGCCATCTCCATAACAAAGAAGTACAAGGTGAAGCAGGAAGTGCTGATGTATAAGCTGAAGCAAGTTTTGCAGAAGATCTAGGTAACATAATGAATGAAGGTGGCTACACTAAGTAACAGATTTTCAATGTAAATGAAACAATCTTCTATTGGAAAAAGATTCCATCTAAGACTTTTGTAGCTGGAAAGGAGAAGTCAATGTCTAGCTTCCAAGCTTCAAAGGACAGACTGACTTGTTAGAGGTTATTGTAGCTGGTGACTTTAAGTTGAAGTCAATGCTCTTTTATCATTCCAAAGGTTCTAGGGACTTTAGGAATTATGCTAAATCTACTATTCCTGTTCTCTATACATGAAATAATAAAGCCTGAATGACAGTACATCTGTTTACAACGTGGTTTACTGAATATTTTAAGCCCTCTTTTGAGACCTACAGCTTACAAGAAAATGTTCCTTTCAAAATATGACTGCTTATTGACAACACACTTGGTCACCCAAGAGCTCTGATGGAAATGCACAATGAGATTCATGCTGTTTTTAATGCCTGCTAATACAGGATCCATTTTGAAGCCTGTGGATCAGGGGAAATTTTTGAATTTCAATTCTTATTATTTAACAGATAACATTATTATTTAACAGATTAACAATTTGTAAGGTTATAGATGCCATAGTGATTCCTCTGATGGATCTGAGAAAAATAAATATAAAACACTTTCAGAAGAATTTGCCATTCTAGATGCCACTAAGGTCATTTGTGATTCATGGGAAGAGGTCAAAATATCAACATTAACAGGAGTTTGGAAGAAGTTGATCCCAGACCTCATGGATGACCTTGACAGGTCCGAAACTTCAGTGGAGGAAGTAACTGCAGATGTGGTATTAATAGCAAGAGAATTAAAATTAGAAGTGCAGCCTGAAGATGTAACTGAATTGCAGCAATCTTATGATAAAACTTTAACACATAAGGAACTTCTTCTTATGGATAAGCAAAGAAAGTGGTTTTCTGACATGGAATCTACTAGAGGAGATGCTGTGAAGATTGTTGAAATGACAACAAAGGATTTATAATATTACACAAACTTAGTTGATAAAACAGCAACAAGGATTGAGAGGACTGACTCCAATTTTGAAAAGAAGTTCTAGGAGGAGAAAAGATGGCAGAGGAGTAGGGGACCCTATTTCAACCAGTCCCCTGAATTGAGCTGGGTATCTACCAGACCATTCTGAACACCCACAAAATCAGCCTGAGATGTAAGAAGATATATCTGGATTTCTACAAACAGAATATCTCCTGTGGTTGGTCTCAAGGTATGAAGCCAGGAGCCGTGATGTTGCAGGCAGAGATTGGAAGATAAACGGAAGGGGGGGGGAGACTCTGGGATCTTGCACTGCCTGGGTGCAAAAGCCTCCCATGCTGGGAACAGGGCACAGACTCGCAGACCTGTAGCAATGGGGAAAGGACTTCAGGGCAGCCCCCCAGACTGAAACCTGGAGCTGCGGGGGCACATGTGTGAACCAGGGGTGGCTTGCGGTTTGAGAAGCACAAAGGGCAGAGACGTGCCTGGACATGGACATGAGGGCTGGAAGTGCTGCTGTGGGGTGCACAACCCAGGAACCTGCAGTTTTTAGCCGCACAGACAGAAATTGAGACAGTGTGGCCTGGAGAGCTCAGTGAAGATCAGACTGTGATCTCTCTATTCTGAAACAGGGGTTTGGATACATTCACTTCTGCTCTGACTCTCAGAAGAGACACAGAAAGCCACCAGGGAAAGCCGTCAGAGAACAAAAGCCCTAAAAAAAACATTTTCACTGAGCCCACCCCCCCCACAAGGGGCAGGGCAACTCTGCCCAAACAGGGGTTGCTTGAGTAACAGCATGGCAGGCCCTTCCCCCAGAAGAAAGGCTGGAAGAACAAGAGGCAGACAACCTTAAGGTCCCTATAAAACAGGTGCATCTTCCTTGGGTTGTGGTTAATAATTTGGACTCTGTACATTCCCCCAACCACCCCTCAGCAGAATGACTAAGAGAAGGAACCCCCAACAAAGGAAAGACTCAGAGACTGTGGCCTCTGCCACAGAACTAATATATATATATATATATTTAAATAATGGATATAACCAAGATGTCAGAAAGTGACTTCAGAGTAACAATTATCAAGGTGATATCTAGTCTTGAGAAAGATATTAACAACAATATAGAATCTCTAAGGGCAGAAATGAGATCTAATCAAGCCCAACTTAAAAATGCTATGAATAAAATGCAGCCCAAACTGGATAATCTCACCGCCAGGGTAAATGAGGCAGAAGAATGAATTAGTGAGAGAGAGGATAAAATGATAGAAAAGAAGGAAATTGAGGTGGCATGGGAAAAACAAATTAAAACCCAAGGAATCAAACTGAGAGATATTATTCACTCAATGAAACGTTCCAATATCAGAATTATTGCAGTCCCTGAGAGGGTGGAGAGAGAGAGAGAGAGGTCTAGAAGATATATTTGAGCAAATTGTAGCTGAGAACTTCCTTAATCTGAGGAAGGAAACAAGCATTTGTGCCCAAGAGGCAAGGAGAACCCCTCCCAAGATCAATAAGAACAGACTGACACCATGACATATAATAGTAAAATTTGCAAATCTTAGATCCGAGGAAACAATCTTGAAAGCAGTGAGGGGGAAGAGATTTCTACGTACAGAGGGAGGAACATCAGAATAACGTCAGACCTATCCACAGAGACCTGGCAAGCCAGAAAGGGCCAGCAAGACAAATTCAGGGTACTAAATGGAAAGAATATGCAGCCAAGAATACTTTACCCAGAAAGGCAGTCAAACAGAATGGATGGAAAGAAAAGGAGCTTCTAAGACCAGCAGAAAATGAAAGAATATGTGACCACCAAGCCCGCCCGGCAAGAAATATTAAGAGGGGATCTATACAAGAAGAAAGACCCCAAGAGTGATATAGATCAGAAATTTACAGAGACAATCTATAGAAACAAAGATTCCACAGGCAACATGATGATAATAAATTCATATCTTTCAATAATCACTCTCAACGTGAATGGCCTAAATGCTCCCATGAAATAGCACAGGGTTACAGATTGGATAAAAAGACAGGACCCATCCATATGCTGTCTACAAGGGACTCATTTTGAACCTAAAGATACAACAAGACATAAAGTGAAGGGAGGGAGAACCATTTTTCATACCAATGGACCTCAAAAGAAAGCTAGGGTAGCAATTCTTATATCAGACAAATTAGATTTTAAACTAAAGACTGTAATTAGAGATACAGAAGGACACTATACCATGGTAAAAGGGTCTATCCAACAAAAGGATCTAGCCATTGTTAATATCTATGCCCCCAACATAGGAGCAGCCAACTACATATGCCAACTGTTAACAAAATAAAGAGACATATTGATAATAATATGCTAATAGTAGGAGACTTCAACAATCCACTATCAGCAATAGACAGATGATCTAAGCAGAAAATCAACAAAGAAACAAGAGCTTTGAATGACACACTGGACCAGGTGGACCTCATAGATATATACAGAACAGTCCACCCTAAAACAACAGAATACTCATTCTTCTCAAGTGCACATGGAACTTTCTCCAGAATAGATCACATACTGGGTCACAAATCAGGTCTCAACTGGTACCAAAAGACTGAGATTATTCCCTGCATATTCTCAGACCATAATGCTTTAAAACTGGAACTCAACCACAAGAAAAAATTTGGAAGAAATTCAAACACTTGGAAGCTAAAGACCACTCTGCTCAAGAATGTTTGGGTCAACCAGGAAATCAAAGAAGAACTTAAACAATTCATAGAAAACAATGAGAACAAAAACACATTGGTCCAAAACCTATGGGATACCGCAAAGGAGGTCCTAAGGGGGAAATACATAGCCATCCAAGACTCACTCAAAAAAACAGAAAAATCCTGAATACAAAAATTAACTTTATACCCTAAAGCCCTGGAGAAAGAACAAATAAACCCTAAGCCAGGCATCAGAAGAGAAATAAGATTAGAGCAAAGATCAATGAATTAGAAACCAGAAATACAGTAGATCAGATAAATGAAACTAGAAGCTGGTTCTTTGAAAGAATTAATAAGATCAATAGACCACTGGCCAGACTTATCCAAAAGAAAGGATAAAGAACCCAAATTAAAAAATTATGCATGAAAGGGGAGAGATTATGACTAACACCAAGGAAATAGAAACAATTATTAGAAATTAGTATCAACAACTGTAGGCCAATAAAGAAAACAACCTAGAAGAAATGGATACCTTCTGAGAAACCTATAAACTACCAAGATTGAAACAGGAAGAAATTGACAACCTGAATAGACCAATAACCAGTAATGAGATTGAAGCAGTGATCAAAAACCTCCCCAAAAAACAAGAGTCCAGAGCCTGATGGATTCCCTTGGGAATTCTACCAAACATTCAAAGAAGAAATCATACCTATTCTCCCAAAGCTCTTTCATAAAATAGAAAGAGAAGGAAAACTTCCAAACTCATTCTATGAGGTCAGCATTACCTTGATCCCAAAACCAGGCAAAGACCCCATCAAAAAGGAGAATTTCAGACCAATATCCCTGATGAATATGGATTCCAAAATTCAGAACAAGATCCTAGCTAATAGGATCCAACAGTACATTAAAAGGATTATCCAGGGGTGCATGGGTGGCTCAGTCCATCAAGCATCTGCCTTCGTCTTGGGTCATGGTCACAAGGCCCTGGGATCAAGCTGCATATCAGGCTCCTTGCTCCATGGGGAGCCTGCTTCTCCCTCTCCCTTTGCCTCTCCTCCTGCTTGTGCTCTCTGTCGCTATCTCTGTCACTCTCTGTCTCTATCAAATAAATAAATAAATAAAATCTTTAAAAATAAATAAATAAATAATAAATAAATAAAATAAAATAAAATAAAAGCATTATCCATAACGACCATGTAGGATTTATCCCTGGGATGCAAGTGTGGTTCAACATTCACAAATCAATCAATGTGATAGAACACATAAATAAGAGAAAAGAATCACATGTTTCTCTCAATTGATGCAGAAAACGCATTTGACAAAATACAGCACCCTTTCCTGATTAAAACTCTTCAGAATATAGGGATAGAGGGAACATTCCTCAATTTCATAAAACCCATCCATGAAAAGCCCACAGTGGATATCATTCTCAATGGGGAAAAGCTGATAGCATTTCCCTGAAGATCAGGAACACAAGGATGCCCACTCTCACCACTATTGTTCAGCATAGTACTGGAAGTCCTAGCAAGAGCAATCAGACAACAAAAAGAAATAAAAGGTATTCAGATTGGCAAAGAAGAACTCAAACTCTCACTCTTCGCAGATGACATGATACTTCATGTGGAAAATCCAAAAGTCTCCACCCCCAAATTGCTAGAACTTATACAGCAATTCAGTAATGTGGAAGGATACAAAATCAATGCACAGAAATCAGTTGCTTTCCTATACACTAACCATATAACTGTAGAAAGAGAAATTAGGAAATCTATTCCATTTACAATAGCACCAAAACACTTAAGATACATTGGAATAAACCTAACCAAAGAATTAAAGGATCTATACTCTTGGAACTACAGAACACTTATGAAGGAAATTGAAGAAGACACAAAAAGATGGAGAAACATTCCCTGCTCTTGGATTGGAAGAATGAAACTTGTTAAAATATCTTTGCTGCCCAGAGCAATCTATACTTTCAATGTAGGGAAAAGAAGGGGCACATACAGCCCAAGTTACATAGCAGCAAGTCCACAATAGGCAAACTGTGGAAGGAGCCAAGATGTCCTTCAACAGATGAATGGATAAAGAAGATTTGGTCCATATATACAATGGAATATTACTCAGCCATCAGAAAGGATGAATACCCAACATTTGCATTGACATGGATAGAACTGGAGGGGATTATGCTAAGTGAAATAAGTCGAGCAGAGAAAGACAATTATATGGTTTCACTTATCTGTGGAACATAAGGAATAGCATGGAGGACATTAGGAGAAGGAAGGGAAAAATGAAGGAGGAGAGTCAGAGGGGGAGATGAACCATGAGAGACTATGGACTCTGGGAATCAAACTGAGGGTTTTAGTGGGGAGGGGATGGGGGATGGGTGAATCAGGTGATGGGTATTAAGGAGGGCACATATTGCATGGAACAAGGGGTGTTATATGCAAACAATAAATCATGGAACACACATCAAAAACTAATGATCTACTGTATTGTGCCTAACATAACATAATAAAAATAAATAAATAAATAAATAAATAAATAAATAAATAATAAACAAACAACAGAAAAAAAAGAAAAGAAGTTCTACTGGGAGGAAAATGCTATTAAACAACATGACATGCTACAGAGAAATTGCTAATGAAAGGAAGCATCAATCAATGTGGCAACATCATTGTCTTATTTTTATTGCCACAGCCACTCCAAATTTCATCAACCACCACCCTGAAGAGTCAACAGTTTTCAACTTTGAGACAAGTCCTTCTACCAGCAAAAAGATAATATTTGATGACAGTGCAGATTATAGTTAGCAATTTTTATCAATAAAGTATTTTTAATTAAGGTATATACATTATTTTTTATACATAATGCTATTTTACTTTTAGTAGACCTCAGTATAGTGTAAACAATTATTTTATTTGTTTTTTGTTTTTTGTTTTTCGTGGACCAATCTAAGTTATTTATTTAAGCCATCTCCTGCCATAAGCAAAGGGATGGAAGATCCGTATATTGGTCATCATTTGATACAAACAAGGAAGGTGAGCTTAAGGTCCCATAGACTTTTCTGGTCAGTGTGCAGAGTCATGATCTAAACCAGTGCTGTAGTCCCCCTGGGTGGTGGTCCAGGTTCTCTTTTTTCATCTTCATAGCCGATTGGAAGTGGATTCACGTGAGAGTTATGGAATAGAGTATGATTACCATCTCCCCAGGGAAAGGGCTTGGACCTGATGTGGAGATGGTGGTAGGCGATGAACTCGGGTCTCTCATGCTCTCTGTGATGCGACCTCAGGAAGACATTCAGCATGCTCACATCCATGCCAGGGAGCACTGCGAAGTAGGTGAGAGCCTTCCACATGTGAGCTGAGCCCTCCTCGCTGTGGGCACCACTTGACATGGACAGCCCCAGCCGTGCCCCGGACCAACCTAGCAGCCCAGACTGATGGGACACAGTTACCACGCCACTGCCATTTTAGATAGTGTAAACAACTTTTACATGCTCTGGGAAACCGAAAAATTAATTTTGCTAATTATTGCAATATCCACTTTATTGCAGTGGTTTAGAACCAAACTTCCAATATTTGTAAGGTATGCTTTTGACACACGCATATACAATCTTCTATTGGCTGTGTTTCTCCAGAGAACCCTGAGTGATACAGATCTTGATACCAGGATGAAGTCCTTAAACATTTAAGTCACATATTTGTGCTTTCAGGGCCTGCTTGGACCTGATCATATATACATCACCTCCACTTGGTGATGGATTGTTGGTGCACACATTGAAGTTTATGTCTTGATGGGTCAGATAAAACCAGTTCATGATGGACAGCTCAGATAACATGGTAAGAAGGTAGCCCATGGTTAAGCATTCAGTCTACTAAGGTCCACTAGCCAGCCAAGAGCATTTCTCAAAAGCATATTAATTATTCATGGATGATGTCAAGGCTTTGATCCAAAAACCTATTGTCCTGCACTCCAATTCAACTATGGCACCTGCCAAATACCCAAACATTGTCCCTATCTGCCCCCTGACACTTTTAGCAACAATGCATCTACTGAATTATGTGGCTGAGTGACAGAGCAGCTTGCATCTTATTGTGGGACCCACTCAAAAGTAGCAGGCTTTTTGGGTCACGTGGAAAATTAGTGAGTCATAGCCAAACACTTCTGCCATAAGATGTGGCTGTGCAAATCTCTTAAATATAGACCACATCTTGGCTTCTGAAATTCAAGCAAATTTATCACAATATCCTTCTAAAATAGAGAAGACTTGTTATCTTTTCCACATCTATTCCCAGAGAGAGGATAATCTATCAGGGAATGTGAAATGAGACCCCAGCCCCAGAATTGTTTTTAAATTAACATTTATTATATCTTCTTCTTACTTTTATCTTTATTTTTTTATTTATTTTTAATTTAATTTTATTTTATTGTTATGTTAGTCACCATGCATCATTAGTTTTTGTTGTAGTGATCCATGATTCATCGATTTTGTATAACACCCAGTGCTCCATGAAATATGTGCCCTCCTTAATATCCATCACTGGGCTAACGATACCCCCACACTCCTCCCCTCTAAAACCTTCAGTTTGTTTCTCAGAGTCCATAGTCTTTCATGGTTAGTCACACCCTCCGATTCTACCCTCTTCATTTTTCCCTTCCTTCTCTTAATGCCTTCTATGCTATTCCATATGTTCCACAAATAAGTGAAACCATATGATAATTGCCTTTCTCTGCTTGACTTATTCCACTTAGCATAATCTTCTCCAGTCCCATCCATGTTGATGTAAAAGTGGGGTATTCATCCTTTCTGATGGCTGAGTAACATTCCATTGTCTATATGGACCACATCTCCTTTATGCATTCATCTGTTGAAGGGCATCTTGGCTCTTTCCACAGTTTAGGTATTACGGACATTGCTGCTATGAACACTGGGGTACATATGGCCCTTCTTTTCACTATATCTGTGTCTTTGGGGTAAATACCCAGGAGTGCAATTGCTGGGTCATAGGGTAGCTCTATTTTTATTTTTTTTGAGGAAATTCCACACTATTTTCCAAAGTGGCTACACCAACTTTCATTCCCACCAACAGTATTAGAGGGATCCCCTTTCTCCACAATCTGTCCAACATTTGTTGATTTTGCTTTGTCAATTTTTGCCATTCTAACTGGTATGAGGTGGTATCTCAATGTTTTCATTTGAATTTCCCTGATGGCTAGTAATAATGAACATGTTTTCATATATCTGTTAGCCATTTGTATGTCTTCTTTGGAGAAGTGTCTGTTCATGTCTTCTGCCCATTTTTGACTTGATTATTTGGTTTTTGGGTGTTGAGTTTGAGAAGTTCTTTATAGATCTTGGAACTCAGCACTTTGTCTGTAGTGTCATTTGCAAATATCTTCTCCCATTCTGTGGGTTGCCTCTTTGTTTTATTGACTCTGCCATGCAGAAGCTTTTTATCTTGGTGAAGTCCCAAAAGTTCATTTTTGCTTTTGCTTCACTTGCCTTTGGAGATGTATCTTGAAAGAAGTTGCTGTGGCCAATGTTGAAGAGGTTACGGCCTATGTTCTCCTCTAGGATTTTGATGGATTCCTGTCTCACACTGAAGTCTTTCATCCATTTTGAGTTTATCTCTGTGTAGGTTGTTAGAGAATAATCGAGTTTCATTCTTCTGCATGTGGCTGTCCAATTTTTCCCAGCACCATTTATTAAAGAGACTGTCTTTTTTTCCATTGCATATTCTTTCCTGCTTTGTTGAAGATTATTTAACCATAGAGTTGAGGGTCCATATCTGGGCTCTCTATTCTGTTCCATTGGTCTATTTGTCTGATTTTGTGCCAGTACCCTGCTGTCTTGGTGATCATTGCTTTGTAATATAAGTTGAAATTGGGCAACGTGATGCCCTCAGCTTTGTTTTTCTTTTTCAACATTTCTTGGTGACTCAGGGTCTTTTCTAATTCCATACAAATCTTAGGATTATTTGTTCCAGCACTTTGAAAAATGTCATTGGAATTTTGACTGGGATGTCATTGAAGGTATAGATTCCTCTGGAATCTATAGCATAAGCTAGAATCCTCTAGCATAAGCATTTTAACAATGTTTATTCTTCCAATCCATGAGCATGGAACGTTTTTCCATCTTTTTTTGTCTCCTTCAATTTCTTTCATGAGTGTTTTGTAGTTCCTAGAGTATAGATCCTTTCCCTCTTTGATTAGGTTTATTCCAAGGTATCTTATGGTTTTTGGTGCTATTGTAAATGCAATCGATTCTTTAATTTCTCTTTCTACAATTGCATTGTTAGTGTATAAGAAAGCAACTGATTTCTGTGCATTGATTTTGTATCCTGCAACATTACTGAATTGCTGTATGAGTTCTAGTAATTTGGGGGTGGAGGCTTTTGCGTTTCCCACATAAAGTATCATCTCATCTGTGAAGATAGAGAGTTTGAATTCTTCTTTGCCAATTTGAATACCTTTTTTTTTTTTTTGTCTGATTGCTGTTGCTAAGACTTCTAGTACTATGTTGAACAATAGTGGCGAGAGTGGGCATCCTTGTCGTGTTCCTGATCTTAGTGGAAAGGCTCTCATCTTTTCCCCATTGAAGATGATATTCTCTGTGGGTTTATCATAGATGGATTTTACGAACTTGAGGAACGTTCCTTCTATCCCTATACTCTGAAGTGTTTTAATCAGGAAAGGATGCTGTATTTTGTCAAATGCTTTTTCTGCATCAATTGAGAGGACCATATGTTTCTTCTCCCTCCTCTTATTATGTGTTCTATCACATTGATTGACTTGCAAATGTTCAAGCACCCTTACATCCCAAGGGTAAATCCCACTTGGTCGTGGTGGATGATCCTTTTAATGTACTGTTGGAATCTGTTAGCTAGGATCTTGTTGAGAATTTTGGAATCCATATTCCTCAGGGATATCAGTCTGAAATTCTCCTTTTTGATGGGGTCTTTGCCTGGTTTGGGGATTAAGGTAATGCTGGCCTCATAGAATAAGCCTGGAAGCTTTCCTTCTGTTTCTCTTTTTTGAAACAGCTTCAGGAGAATAGGTATCATTTCTTCTTTGAATGTTTGGTAGAATTCTCCAGGGAATCCATCAGGCCCTGGACTCTTGTTTTTTGGGAGGTTTTTGATCACTGCTTCAATCTCATTACTGGTTATTGGCCTATTCAAGTTGTCCATTTCTTCCTGTTTCAGTCTTGGCAGTTTCCAGGTTTCCAGAAAGGCATCCATTTCTTCCAGGTTGCTTAACTCATTGGCATAGAGTTGTTGATCATAATTTCTAATAATTGTTTCTATTTCCCTGGTGTTAGTCATGATCTCTCCCCTTTCATTCATGATTTTATTAATTTGGGTCCTTTCTCTTTTCTTTTGGATAAGTCTGGCCAGTAGTTTATCGATCTTATTAATTCTTTCAAAGAACCAGCTTCTAGTTTCATTGATCTGATCTTCTATGTTTCTGGTTTCTAATTCACTGATCTCTGCTCTAATCTTAAGTATTTCTCTTCTAATGCATGGCTTAGGCATCGTTTGTTGCTTTTTCTCTAGTTCTTTAAGGTCTAGAGTTAGTTTTGAGGATTTTTCTATTTATTTGAGTGAGGCTTGGATGGCTATGTATTTCTCCCTTCGGACTGCCTTTGCAGTATCCCATAGGTTTTGGACCAATGTGTTTTTGTCCTCATTGTTTTCTATGAATTGTTTAAGTTCTTTGATTTCTTGGTTGACCTAAGCATTCTTGAACAGAGTGGTCTTTAGCTTCCAAGTGTTTGAATTTCTGCCAATTTTTTTTCTTGTGATTCAGTTCCAGTTTTAAAGCATTATGGTCTGAGAATATGCAGGGAATAATCTCAATCTTTTGGTATCAGTTGAGACCTTATTTGTGACCCAGCACATGGTCTATTCTGGATAATGTTCCATGTGCACTTGAGAAGAATGAGTATTCTGTTGTTTTAGGGTGGACTGTTCTGTATATATCTATGAGGTCCATCTGGGCCAGGGTGTTATTCAAAGCCCTCGTTTCTTTGTTGATTTTCCACTTAGATGGTCTGTCTATTGCTGAGAGTGGTGTATTCGGGTCTCCTCCAATTAATGTATTACTATCCATACTATCCATATCCATACTATCCTCTTTTTTTGGTTAACAGTTGGCTTATTTTGATGGCTGCTCCCATGTTGGGGGCATAGATATTTACAATTGTTACATCTCCTTGTTGGATAAACACTTAAAGAGTGATATAGTGCCCTTCTGTGTCTCTAACTACAGTCTTTAGCTTAAAATCTAATTTGTCTGATATAAGAATTGCTACCCCAGCTTTCTTTTGAGGTCCATTGGCATGGAAAATGGAGTTCCATCCCTTTGCTTTCAGTCTGGGTGTATCTTTATGTTCAAAATGAGTCTCTT